TATTTAGATTGTTTGAATTCATATTCAGTTATGTTTATTGGTTTTATTATTGGAACATCTGTCATAATTGATATTAAAGATATATAGAAAATAATTTAATATTATTTATTGTATGAAAGCATTGCTATGATATGAATGGTGTCTATCGTAGTAGAACAGGCTCTTTCATCAACTTCAATCAATAAGCATTGAAGCTAATTAGTTTGATGCATTGTAAAGAAAACCCCAAGTGCTGTGCCCTCCGAATATTCTATCATGCATGAAAATAATAAGATTAAATAAATATTTTATCTTATTATTTATATGACTATTATCCATTGCAGTTGTGGTAAAACTTATGATGACAAATATTTATTTAAACATCTAAATTCAAAATATCATCAGAAAATTGTAGAATATAGATGGAATAAAGACGATACAATGAAAAAACTTTACAAGAAAAGAAAGACAGAAATGAAAAAATAATTTATCTTATTATTTAATATGAAAAGGAGTTATACAGATTATATTAATATAATAGATGAAATGGAGAATATAGAACAAGTACTAATAACTGATAATAGATGTAAAAAAATATGTTATTTTATTTTAGAATTAATTAAGTTTTTGATACAATATATTAAAAATATAAATATTAATATAAATGCCAAAAAAGAAAAACAAAAAGAATAAGATAGGTTTAAGTGTTTCTTCAACAGATGAAGATAGCGGAGAAATTGTTAAAGAAACAGCAGTAATTGAGTTTTCTTGTCCGATGTGTAAAAGGATGTTAGAAATGAAAAATGAATTAGAAATAAAAAATAATAAAAATTGTAAATGTTCATGTATTCCAACAAGTTTCAAAATAAGTAAAAATGAGAAGAAAATGAGTATTGATAAAACTAAAGACAGTATCAACTTAGAAACTGATGTCCACAATATAACTTTTAAATTTGGTAGGCAAGCAACACCATCCGATAATAATGAAAACGAAACACAGGAAACTGTTAAACAAATGATGAAAAATATATAATTAAATAAATAAATATCTAAATAAATATATAGTAATGTCTGAAAATGAGAATTATACTATTAATGATTTAATGAAGAAGATAACATTAATTGGTAAAAATATCAAAAACTTAAATGATATGATTAAATCCATTGATGACAAAATAAAACCAGTTGAACGCGAACAACAAAGCAACGAAGAGAAGGAGAAAATCGATAAGATATTTCAAGCAAAATCTATAGGTAGACCCAGTGGCGATTACCCTACAAAGCAAAAGAAATACTGCGATATGTTGAATACAGGAAAAATCAAACAACCAAAGCAACAAACATTAGAGTTTTATAAAATTACAAAAAATGATGATGAAGTATATGTATTATTTGAATAATTAATATCTAAATAATTCTAATAATATGATTTTTTTAGAATTATTTAGCAACAAGACCTATATAAAATACCTCGTGGTTTGATATTGGACACTTTGATGAGTTTGACGGATTAAGGATTTTGAGTTTGATACTGGTAGTATCATTTGAACGATACTGGTAGTATCATTTGAACGATACTGGTAGTATCATTTGAACGATACTGGTAGTATCATTTGAACGATACTGGTAGTATCATTTGAACGATACTGGTAGTATCATTTGAACGATACTGGTAGTATCATTTGAACGATACTGGTAGCAGTATATAGCTTTGCCATACTATGATTATAACATTTATACCCTTATATGTTATAATTATAATGTAAGTATAGCGTTTTATATATTGAAGATAAAATCCTACAAGGGACACCGCGCCTACATTTTTTCATCATTGTAGGCTTGGATTTACACTTAAAGAGAGAACACCTATAGATAATAAGGATGGAAATTGAAAGAAGGTATTGTAGCACATGCATGTTCAATCAAAAAGCCGACAAGTTTGAAGAAGGGTTCAAGACTTGCAATATATGTAGAGCAAAAAAGAAAAGACACTACCACAACAACCCTGAAAAATACAGAGAATACAGAAGGGAAGATAGAAAGAACAATCCTGAAAAATACCAAGAAAGGCAAAGAGAATACATGAAGGAATACAAAACAAGAATGCATTGTTGTTCGTTATGCGATGTTGAAGTGCAACTAAAAAGCAAAGCAAGACACGAGAAAACAGCATGGCATCAAGGAAACCTGAGAAGAAGCGAGAACCCTGAGGAGAAACTGCCAGAACCTGATGAAATCAAAATCATAGATGGCAAAAAACACTTTAGGTGCTTGACATGTAGAGCCAGTTTTCTACCGTATCAATGGGAGAAACACATAATGGAGAAGCATAGGGAAACTTAGAGTGATTGATACAATAATATGAACACTATTGTATCATTTACTGATTAGGAGTGATGATTTTGGTATTAACCACAATCCTACAAGGAGCGCCACGCCCAAACAAATATATGATGAAACTGATGAAACGAAGGAGGGAGTGATGTTGTTGCTGTTCTATTTTTTGTCCGGGAAATGGACAAATCGTTTTTAGACAGTTCGATTTTTTTTTTGATGACAAATATTTTTTGCAATATATTTTGCAAAATTTATTTTTTTGAAATGGATGAGGCGAGGAGATTGAGGAAATGACATTTTGGAGGGTAGTTGGTGAAATGAATGAGGCGAGGAGGAAGGAGAAAAGGATGGCGAAAATTTTGGAAAAATGATGATAAAAAAACGGATGAGATGGACAGAAAGGAATGTAGAAAAATGATGAAAACAAATAAGGGTAGAAGATGGAAGATGAAAAAAAATGTAGGGTGGGGGGTATGTATGAAGCAATTTATTTGCGGGGCAAGGCCCCCGACTACTATATGTGGGGGTCCCTTGTGAGACAAACGCATAGTTTTGAGCTTTTCTTTTTTGAGGATATCCCTTTGGAGCGGGTTTCAAGCAAAACCTGAAGGATATCTACCATTTTTTAGGGAACACCGGAACACCAATGTGATTGTTTGTTTTATCCACGAAGCGTTGAGGCCAATTTGAGGTGACGTTCCTTCGGCTGAGATTCTGTTCATGGGTAGGAATCCCACTTCGCACATGATGTGGGTTTTCACCTAGGTTGCCTTGCACAACTTACTAACTTGGCGAATCGTCAAGCTGCAGGATATCCAGCCAGATCTGCCTGGTGGCCCTCCTGATTTTTTTGAGGTGACCGAAAGAGATTGGGTCGTCTAAGATCTCTGCTCAAGCCTCAAGCTCCCAAACAACTCTGGGGCACATATCCAGACTTGAGGGAGCCTATCAAGCCGGAGCCTCGTCCAAAAACAATGAAATGAACATGTGTAATATCCCAATGCACGCTGGGAAGTGGAAGCCATCTTTTGAGTGATCCAGACCTTATCCGCAGTGAGGGCGCAGGGGTGCTGAACAGCAGCTGACAATTTTCCCACACCCCAAAAGGGCCTACCCAAAACTGTCATCCTGCAAAAGCGATAGCCCACCAAAAGCCGACACCCTGGCATTGCGTCTGCTCATAACATGTGTGAGACAAACATTATGACGTGTATGCAAAATGTTTTGCATGTCACCATGGTTTTCACAGCGAACGCGCTGAGGGAAGCGGGATTTGAGAGTCAGACCGGAAAGTGGGCCACCCCAAGTTCCCGAGGCTCAAGTGAAGCGCAAGGAGTCGACGACAGTTCCCGAAGCGTAGTACCAAACCCCATGAAACCCTAATGGCCTACCCCCAAAGACCTCAAATAAGTTCGGGGATGGGACAGGGTATGTTCTTAGTCCAAAAGAGGTCGAGTACTTGGACCGCATGTTACCATCCCAGTCATGAAGGCTGATCACGACCCAGCGAAAGCGAAACTGTCAGCTGGATTTTGGCGCATCGTTCGATCAAAAGATGGCTTGGGCTGTTCACAAAGTTGATTGGGAAATTGGCAACAACATACACTGAACATATGAGCTTGATAAAGGGGCCTGGAAAGAAAGGTTCATCTTTTGGCACCTTGACTAAAAATAGACACAAGAAAACAACCCAAGGCAAAGAACACCACACAGAACCAAACCAACAAAGCAGAGGGCAAAACCAAAAGGACAACGTATCGATTCACTTTGGACAAGTGAGATGTCTTGAAGTTGCGAGCCCTCGCCCAAGCACATTTGATTGTTAACAGTTATATAACACAACATATGGGTGTTGTTTGGCTTTAAGATTAGAAACAAACAACAGACAAACAACACGGGAAAAACATATAAAACAAACAACAACCGAAAAATCACGATTTTGGAGTCCCCTAAAAAGGACACAGTCACTCACACCCCCACTCCATGCTCCCAATGGTCCCTCTTCGACTCGCGAACGCAAGCTCAACCCAAACACTGAAAACCAAGAACGACTTTGAGCCCAGCAGTGACTCTGGTAAAAACAAAATGCCTTGCGATGGACCATCTTGAATGAAAAAGGAAAAGAGTCCATCTGGACCCTCAAGCAGGGTCTGTTTCAAGACAAGTAGACGAACAAGACTCCAACAAGACGAGACACGTCACGAAGGATCAGCGGGGGAAACCTACAGTTGGTCAGTGAGACAGGGTCCCCTGTGTTTCCTCTTTAACGATCACCCAAGAAGTTCTCTTCAAACAGGCCCCAAATATGATGTGGCAACGCACTTCATGGGGAATTTTGGATGCATCGGCTTTGAGGCTACCTGTTTTTGTGGTTTGAAAGGGAACCAAAAGGACCACCGAAGCCGGCCCCCATATCGGGAACTGGTTAAACCCCAGACCTCCTGTGGATTTCCATGGGAAAAACAGAGCACTCTTCTTTTCGTTGGCGGATTTCAAAGGGGCCCCCTCAAAAAAACAAACTCGGAAAAGGGGAATGCGCCCACTGGGGGTCTGAGAAATTCCCCAAACAGGGGAACTAAGTTTCCCCCACCCCCCCCCCCCCCCATGCTTGTTTTTGGCTTCCCTTTGCGGCAACCTAAACCTGCAAAGGTCTGCAAGACACACCCCGGGAACGGATCGCTCGCCTTCTTCAGGTCGCGGTCGAAGGTGTCCCCCGTCAAGGTCGCCTCGTCCTGGACGTAGACCACAGCGGGCCTCGCTCGAAAAAGTGGACGAGTCCCGTTGCCCGGAGGACGCTGCGAAGCGGAAGTAAGAAAGGCACCGGTTCGACTGTCAAGAGGAAGACTCAAACGAAACCGTGGAATTTTATATATAATAGATTACGTCAAGTTTGCAAAGATGCTACCTGGCCAAGGCGCTGAAATCGACTTCGAACATGAACTCCCTCGAGCAAATGAGCTTGAATGGGGCCCGATTTTATTTCTAAATGAACACACAGCACAGCTTTGAAACATAAACACACATCCGCGCCAACTAGTCAGGTGTCATAAGCCGCTCGCATCTTTCCTTGGATTCGACTCCCACTGCGAGCGCTGTCGGCATGTTGCGGGCCCCGGGCCGTGTCTTGACCCCCATCTTCCGTGCCAGGTCCTTCGGGGATCCGAGCCGTCGATATGGCTTGGTGTCATTGGCTTGCCGCTATGCGGAAATGCAGTTGAACACAGAAGACGCACAAAGTATAGCTGGTAAGCTAAGTGTGGCAATGCTCATCATTCCCAATCATTATGACATTTACCCATGAAATGGCCATGAGGCACAAGAAAAAGCTCGGTTTTTATGCGGTTGCTCATAAAAGGTCCGCAATCTGGGGAGAAACCAATCATGAGCAGACATGGCTGCAATTCTCTGAAAGGCATGCTTAGAGTTCTAGAGTTGTGGGGGAGCCTCCCTGTTCAACCGCTCTCTTCCGTGATCGGAAAGGTCGGGTCGATCAAAAGCCCCTTTGGTAGAGGTCAATAGCGATCTCACCGCATATTATTATAATGGTTGATTCTGACCATGTGTTTCAGCATCCTTCTTTGCAGAAACTCAGTCACCTCACCCCCGGTTTGGGGCTTGAAGAGAAGGGGGATGATACCGCTGGAAGTCAATCGCCAAAACCAATGTGCGTCCCGCAGCCACTTTTGGAGGTTCACGGGGACCTTAAGGCTTAGGGGCCCCTGTTCAAAGTTCAGCACCAACGCAACGCCGGCTTTTGGGTTCCTTTGACACCATCACCCAAGCCCTGGCACTTTGAGAGATCTGGCCACAGATCCTTCCGAAACTCTTCGCCAGTGGAGCCTGACGCACGAAAACGGAATTCCGCCATGCCTTCCCTCAGGTTCCGCTTTGGCACAGGCAAGAACGGGCAAGAAGTCCCCGAGATTTATTTGTTGCCGTGTTCCTCCCAAATGCACCAAACCTCATGCGAACTTATACCAGCCACTGTGGATTGACAGAATCCTGCACCTGTAGGTGGCTGATCACCCAATTGTCATATGGTTTCATCCAGGCGGTTGATCCATATTCCTGGCCCCCAAATGATCATGGGAAACTTTTTCCCATTCAGTGGGAAGCATCATCTTCTTGGTGGTTTCCCCCAATGGTCATCCCATGTATCACGGACCTTTTGATCAACCCCACCCGTGCATGCCATGCATCCGCTCCTCGCTGCCTGCGAGTACTGCGCCCAAGGCCGCTCGGCCCTTGAACTCGATGGAGAGCCTTGGCTCGAGATCCCGCGAAGTAAAAAGTAAACGGTTTTTTCTAGGGGTTGATTCCTTTTCCCTTCTTTTCAACCATCCTTCTTTTCAGAAACCGGCTGTTTCCCCTGGGGTTTTGACGGCTTCCTGAAAAGAAGGATCCCTGGAAACGGAATTTTCCATTCTTTCCAGGGATCCTTCTTTCTAGAAAACCTCCGGAAACCCGTGGAAACGGCCGGTGTTCGAACAGAACGATGGTTGGAAAGAATGGGGAATCAACCAGCTTAGAGTTTCGAGGCTTGAGGGGATCTCAAAATGGGTGGCTCGATTTTGTTTCAGGATTTGGACTCCCCAAAAAGGTGCAAGGGGTTTCCAAAGCATGTTCCTTTTGCACCACCAAAAAAAGTACCCTCGAAAACAGACACACCCAAATGACTTGGGGATGTTCACGTCTCAAGATTGCGTTTTCGGGCCTGGGGACAAAAACAATTAAAATTACCTTTGGGACCTCTAAACATGGACCAACTCTGAAACGCCAGTTCCGTGGCTTGCACCCCGGCGCTCAACAACTCAACCAAGGCCCGATACGACTGTCTGCCTTGGGGTGTGTCGTTTTTGACCTCACAGGCAAGAATTGGATGAGTGAGAAGGACATGAAGGGAATGGATGATGATGGATCAAGGAATGGCTACCCGTCTCTTCCATCGCTGCTCGGATTGTTGATTGGTGGCGATGGGACGGGTAAAAGAGAAAGGAAATGGAGATGCTTCCCTCGTCCACTCGCCAACGCAGGTTGACACGTGTACTCGCGAATCTGAGTCCAACCGTCAGTCAAGGAAGATCAACATGTCCATTCCTACTTGCCTACTGGGATGAGAGTCAGAGAAGGATGGTCCCATCCACTGGCGGGTACCTCCGGAGTCTTATGCATTCCTTCCTCATATTTGCTCTCGCACAAAACCCAGATTACTCTCTATTCTCTCCGTTCATTACCTAATCCTTTCCGCAGCCAAAATGACTTTAGGAACTTGGCAAAGAAAGGGGGTGAGTGACCAGCCAAGAAGTAAGAACTGGCTGGGAATGGATGATGAAAGAGAGCCAATTCTCCATGTGGCTGCCAGAGTCATATGATGACAAAGGATGGGTCTTTCTGTAGGCGACTGAAAGAAGAGAAACAGATAGACAGAATCATGCTCTCTCTCCACCATATGGCTCTTGAATGAAGAGAAGACAGGGCCACCTCTTCTTCCGTCCTCGCTCTTCACCTCTCTCTTCTTTCTCTTGTCTAGCGGTTTGACCAAAATGAGACGGGCGGAGGAGATGGATGGGCCTTCTCATTCTCCTATTTTCCTATCTGGTAGGCCAGGATTGTTCAAAATGAAGGTTTGGCCAGTCTAACCTTCCATGATCCCCATCTTGAAACCACAAGAAGAAAGCACAAAGTCTTCGTACCAAGGAATGGATTCTTTTTCGCATTGACTTTGAACAGCCACACTTCCAGCGGAAAACATGTGTTCGCCTTGTCGTTGCTTGTCGCCTTTGGGTTCCTCCCATTGGGCCGGAAGACCTTTTGGGTCAAAGGGAAATTCGCTTTTTTGGCAACGGTGGATGGGTGGCTCAACTTTTTCAGGGAACCCCCAACATGGCTCAACGGTCTTCCTTTTGGTTTCCCTTTAGACCATGACAAAAAAGGAGCATCAACACCAAAGGAACACATCCCAAGAGCAGTTGACAGGGGCACCGGCCAGAATCCCAGGCTTCTCCTGCCACCTTTCTGGGGAAAAAGTTCGACGTGTCTCTAAAAGGAACCCTACACCTTCCAACATGGAGATCGCGTGATGCTCGCATCTGAGGGACCAAACTAAAACAATCCGAACTCTTATGCATGTTGCCTTCATCATGGAGGTCGCCAACCCCTGTGGATGAGGTCGCCTCTTTTTGTCCAGAAGAGTCCGGAAAGCTGCTGATGGAACCATGCCAGGGCTACGAGGACTTTGAAACCAATTAAGTCATGACCGTAAAAGGATGGTGTTCACAAGTAATCCAGCCTCTATATTGCAGGGGTCGGTTCAGCGTCCCCTCTTCCAACCAAACCAATTGGACCATGTCAACACAGCCTTCCATTTGCTTAAGTCCCCTGGAAAAAAAAGTAGTGATAGATTCCCTTTAAAACCAACAGGGGAAAATGAACAAATACTCTTAAGCAAATGGAAGCAGCAAAATCCCCACAATTCGCTTTGGTTTCCTCGTGGGTTGCACAGAACCCGCAAATGAAGCGCGATCTCGTGAGAGTCGAACAACCGCAGCTCTAGGCTCGGAGCGTCTTCAGCAGCGTGGGCGTGGCCTTCTTGTCTGAGAAGAAGATCACATGGGGAACCTGCTTTGCGAATCCCCAACCCGGTGGATTTCCACTGGAAAAGAAGGGGCGCCTTTTTTTTGGTGGGGTGATTTTAAAAGGAACCTTACACAAAGCATTTCAAAGGGCAACCGGGCCCTTTGCTGAACTCCCACGGGGATTGGGCCCCGCCTGGGAACCTGAGGACTTGGGACCAGGTTGGGGAAGCCGTTGCCACGGGTGCATTCTCCTTTGGGGTAGCAATGTTAGCCCCTGACAAAGGGAGGTATTTACCATGAAAACCAGGCTTTTCAACATATGCCACCTAGGAGTGGGCAGTTGCGGGGATTGTAATTAGTCTAACAAGGGCCACCCCAGAGAGGACGAATCCCTGGAAAGCCCAAGGGGAATCAAACATCCTGATGCAGAGATCTGGGCGGTGTGCCTTGCTTCGTTGGGAATCAAATCGGTTGGTTTTCAAGGCAAAGCAGAAGGACACTCACCCTGGAGTTCCCCAAACCTTGTGAAACGACATGGGCGTGGCTACTTCTTGAGGCGACACCCTTCTGCAGGCTGGTTTAAGAGGAAAGCGAAGCTCTATTGTTGGATTTTCCATCTCTTTCCATTAGTAAACAAGCCCACCTGCGCAACATTGCCAGGGTTTTGATGGTCAGGCTCAAGGGTTGCGAGTGTTGGTCGTCCCTTGTCGCTTTGTGGTGATATTGTCAGCTGCTCATCTGGGAGCTGCATACCATAAGCGCACTTGGATCACACAAAATAAACAAAAACAACTTGGCAACAAATAGGACCCCTGCAAAACTCCAAGCACCTAGTTGCCGTGGTCCCATTTTGTTCGCGCAAATTCATGCTTGCCCCAAGGCCCCCTCTTACAAGTCCAACTTGCTAAGGCTTCTTTTGGAAGACCCCCCACCCCCAAAAAAGAAACGGAGAAAAAAAAAAGCTGCCACCAAAAACAACTGGGGACAGCCCTAGAGACTTGGTTTCTCCTTTCGGCTTAAACCTCTACGAGCATTCATTGGAAATTTATAGTTCTTCGGGTTCCGTACGGAGGGTAAACACATCAAAATCCTTTTTGGAGGGAAACGCACATGGAACGCCGCCATTTTGTCCAGCCTTGGCGGCCGTTTCCCATACTTCAAATCCTCGAACCACCACCACCACCAATCCAAACCAAAGGGTTGCTCACTTCCGTAGATTAAGTCCGAAGGCTTTGCTTGCCACGAAAATGGCCTTCCCACAGCGACCCAAGTCCGAAGTGGAACTCAGGTCTCACAAAACCGGCACCACAACACCCGCCTTGTCATCCGACACCAGCCACCGCCTCACGTCGCGCTCCGTCAACAAGGCCTTGGTCGGAAGGAGTCGGAGGCTGTTAACCCCCCCCGAAACCAAAGCTTGTGGCTGCTCTTTTGGTCCTTTGAAACCACGACCAAAGGGGTTACCCTCAAAAAAAGCTAGAGCCATACTTTCATTGATAGATTCACCATGAACACCTGGTTGGAAAAACTGGGCATCTTCATTTCAAATGGCAGGAGCCTTCTGCTAGCTTCCCAGGGCTCTAATGCAAATAGGGAGAAAACACTTCGAACAATTGTTGGACGTGGGCACACAACTGGGGCCCCAGTTTTCTCATATCGGCGGCTCGTCTTTTCTTGAGGGTAATCTTTGGTGGTTTCAAAAGGGACACCAAAGGCAAAACCAACACTTGGGGGAGGGGGGGGGAAGGTCCCTTTAAAGAAGACACACCTATATCCCCAAGGACCCCCCTCACAGCTCGTTTCCATCTGCCGTGTTTTGGACTCTCGGGGCGGATGGACACAAGGCCTTGGCTAGTGCTGGCTTTTGCTAAAAACAAAAAGAAGGAACACTAGCCAGGGGCTTCTGAGGATGGTTTTATGGCTCTGAGGATGGTTTAGCAGGAACCGAGCCTGGGGGAAAAGCAAATTGAGGATGGTTTTATGGCCAGCAAATACAAAATGGGGTTTTGCTTTTGGTATTCTGAGGATGGTTTTATGGCTCTGGGGGAAAGCTGCGTTGATTCATGGAATTTGATTTCGAGGGGACACAAAATAAGCCCAGGTGGTGTCCCCCAAAAAGATCCCAGAACCTATCTGGGCTGCGGCTGCATTCCCAGTTGGGTACCCCGAAAACTTGTATGTCCCTTTAAACCAACCCCAAAAAGGTACCCTCAGAGGCAAACAATCACGCACACCCGCATTTGGGTCTGGCTTGCAACAGAAAAACCCTAACAAAAATGTGGTTCTCCTGTTGGCTTCCTTTTCAGCCAAGGTGAAAAGGGAAGCCTCGAAACATGCACACCCTGTTCGACCTCGTACTCCGGGCACGGGCCTTGACGTAGTTCGCCATCTCCTGGCAACGCACATGTGCGTTGCACACGCAACGCCCTCCCCATCCGGGACCAGATTTGGGATTGTTTCGAGGCAGGTAATCATCTGAGGGATACAACCAACCACCTGCTGTTTACAAGGACATCCTCGAAGTCAGCTGGCAAAAGTGGAGCTGGCAAAAAGTTAGTTGCCAGCTTGGCCCAAACGCACCCTTTCAGGGGATCTGTAAGGGTAACCCGAGTTTCGGATTCAGAGCGATGGATCCAAATGACAAAGTAATCCTCTCAAGTTGCTACCTACCTACCTGGCAGCGAAATGCTCGTGTCCAAAACAATATGAGGGTAAAGGTCGAACCAAACAGCAACTCAGAAGCCTAGTGGCCAGGAAGAAACAAGGGCACCTGTTTCTTGTTGGATGATGTGAAAGGGAACTGCTCCAAACAAATAGGCAAAAGCTTGCAACCCATGGTTCGCCAAAGTCCCTAAAAAACAGTGGCACCCTTTTTTGGTTGACTTTAAGGCGGCACCCCCTCCAACAAAAGTAACAAGAATGGTTGGTCTGGATAGGTTACCGTATAGGGCACCTCCCATTCACGGGCACGCTTCCACTTCGCGGCGAAGCGGCGTGCGGTCCCACCTTGTTGAACCACGCGGAGAGGCTGTGATAGCTGATCTCCCCCGGTGGGTGCCTGCGGAAGGGGAAGCGGCTGGGCAAAAGTGTCTGAAATCGGCTTCGGGTGTCTGAAATCAACGGAAGCTGCGGGTTTCTTTCGAAACTTGTGCGCCGAAAGCGATCGGTTTCCACGAGCGTAAGCCCTTTTGGTTTCATAGCAGAACAGACCCGGATCTGTCGTTTTAGGGCGCTGGTAGGCTTTCGGGGCTTTACGCTTGGATCAAGCTTCCCCCCCCCCTCTGGGAGATGTGATTTCCCAGAAGTCACTGCCGTGTGGTCAGTCCCTGAAATGATGGTGGGTTGCTTCATCTCTACCACTTGACTAGGGAAATTCCCAAAGGCAACATTTGGCTGCTTGATTCCCTCCATGTGTTCAACTCCGGCTTGGTACAACCCAAATCTGCCCATCCCCGCCCCGCCCCCAGCCCATTTTTGGCGGGAGCGCCAGTCTTCGCACCAGCCAGGTGCGACATAATGACTTCCATTTGCTTAAGCTGCATCAAACTTCCGGAGTTCGACCCCGTGGACGTGCCGAAGGCTCCAATCAGTCATGAACATTGTCCCCAAACCGACGTCGACTTGTCGGGAGTTCGCGGGATGTGGCCTGCTTTTGTTGCAGCCATGAAATCGCAAACCGCCTTAAGCAAATGACCGCCAGCATGGAAGATATGCACCGGGCCTCAAGATTGACCGATTGACCGATACACTCGCTGGAAGGGCAGCAAAAGTGCCAAGCTTCTGTGTTTTGGTAGTTCTTAGGGGAATGCGCGACAAGGTGACGAGGTAAAAGGTCACGTGCGAGACAACTCCCACCAATCTTCTGACGGCCAAGCTGGCGCCTGTGCATTTCGGTCCTAATCTAATTTGAGCAGGCACGGCCAGCTCATTTAGACATTGCAACGCGCAAGTCTCAATGCAGTCGGACCCTCATCCCAGTCTTGCACTTTGGCGTTGACTGTGCCTCAGGCCTCGACTGTCCTGCAAGCCGAGAAACGCAAACGAATCGGCTCACGTGTCCAGAGAACCTGGAAACACGAGGTTCACATTTCAGGTTGAGCATTTTTGTTGGAACACGCTTGGCATGCACAAATCGACTATACCACTTTTAGCTGGTTTTGCTCTGAGGTAAACGAGTTGCAATGTTTCAGATCCACAAAGCACCCACAATGGACACAGCTCCTTTCTGCTTTGTGGGTAGATGGTCCCCTGGTCCTTTTGTGATCTATCCCTTAAACCCGGCCAAGAGGATTTACCCGAAATAGCAGGGATCGGATCTCAGCAGAAATTGACGTTCCGCGCACTCGTCACGCACTTCCTTGGGCATGGCTGGCAACTGGGTTTGTTTCAAAGGGAGCTGGACCTCGATGGATTTGCCGTTTTGGTTTCCCATCAATCAACCCAAGGGGCACCCTCCCAAGAAAAGCATGGCAAGGGTGCCCTCAAAAACAAAACTGGAGTCCGTCTGGTTGCTGGCCACAAGGGCGTCCCCCCAGACAGTTCACAGAAGAAGCAATGCAGCCTTTTCGATAAACACATTGCTCACTGCACTCCTGCAGAGTGTCATGCTGCATGGAACCCTTGGTTTCACCTTGGTTTAAAGGGAAATCTAAGAGAACAACACATTTTTTGGGGTGTCTAATATGGGGTCCCCCTTATTTGACACATACCCACACCATGATATCAGTTAACTGGAAAAGAAGAGATTAAATTGGAAGTTCACTCCCTGTGAGGATTGAAACAACAACAACTAACTGCATAGTTACAGCAAAAACATGTCTTCCCAAAAAGTGCATAAAGTCCAGGCACTCACGGAGTGAAGAATAAAGGCGACCGGGACAGCCCCTTTCAGGGCTTGTTTGCAACTTCTTCAGTTTGTGAGAGTCATCATTTTCGGTGCTGGTCATCCCATGGACCTCGTGGTCAACCCCCAGACCCCATGGCATGAGACAGCCGTCCTCAGCAAGCCGCCGTTCCTCGCCTCCATAAACGTCCCTTGCCTCGAACGCCAGCTCTTGCGACGGCAAGCTGTTTGAGAACGCAATATGTTGTAAAACGAGGAACCCGTCCTACGTGGCTGGTGGACACAAATCCCAAGCTGCATGATGTTTAGCAGAGGGTCCCCAGTTAAACATGACACCCACGTGCATTTATTTTGAGTCATCTGCGGCTCCGCTTTGAACAAGTCTTTAAACATCACTCCACGAAAGAATGGCGTGTGAGCCTTCCTTTCTATCTTGTATCTCATCAAGAATTACCGCAAGGACAGGATGGAGTGAGGGAATGAGTGAGAAATATCTGTCCATTCCCTTGCATTTCATTTTACATTAGACACGCAATCGTATTCTGGAGTCTCTTCGCTATCCCAAAACGTCAAACGTAGAAAAGGGAGGAGGGCTAACTGTCTAAGCTTCTTCCCGCCTCTAACCATTCAGCGTCTCCGCTGTCAATGATAAAGAGAGCGGAGAGTGCATGGGTGAACAGGATATGCTTCTTGGGAACCTTTCTGCTTTCATATGATGGCTCTCCTCATTCGCGAGTCCCAAGACCATGGATCATGAAAAGGAGAATTGGTCATCCATTCATGTTCCCCCGTCCTTTCATCTAATTATTGGCTAATTTTCATGTGCCCCTCTCTTTATGGGACCTCAGATCCCCTGCTACAAGTTTGACTTTTAGTGGGTTAAATGGAAACTACCACTAAACCAGCTAACAAGATCAAAAAAGCTAAGGAACCGGATGGCTGGGAGCCAAGGCAACTTGGCCAAACGTGTCATCAACGCCCCTCCGCCTCAGCCCGTTGGCTCTATCCCTGGGCTGCGGGCTCCGGGTATGCGGCACGGCGCGCCCCAGGCTGGGTGCGGGTCTTGATGTAGTCCTGCGCGTGTTGGAGCTACTGACGGTTGAAAATTCCAGACATCGCGCCACGATTTCTGAAAGAATGGTTGAGACCATTGTTGGAATTTATGGGGGAATCACAGCATTCCAGGGTTTCTTAGGTGGTGCAGGATTTCGTCCATCCACAGTATGGATGATTCTTAGCAACAATCGGTTTGCGGTAGCGCTCATGTTGGACGAAAATTGGGAACGACTCCACGTAACCGATTATTACCTAGTTACTCTCAGGGTGTCCCTGCCGGGGGGTGACAACACAAAAAATACAACGAATCGGTCGAAAGGAGTACCAATGGGTCGGTCCTCCAGGCGAGAAGTCTGCCACTCTGAGGATTCACCTGGGATGCGCGTGCCCATGGGCGTCCTTTCGGAAAACATGAGCCGTTCACCTTGGCCCACATCTGGGGTAGGTGGAAAACGGATATGTTCTGATGATTTCCCTTTTTTAGTCCAAAAACATATGGCTATGATACAGCCTTGGCGATTGGGATATAAACATATACCAACATAATAAACAGTTTAGCAGACAACGGAAATAGCCTTGGAGACCACAGTTCCCAGGATCTTACATATGAGAGGGCCTTTGACCCCAAAAGACCATGGGACACAAAGGCTCTTCCACCGACTTCCCACCACGGGCATTTTTTCCAGCCATAGCTGAAGTCTTCCATCCGCGCGGTGGCGTGCGTTAATATTGCACCAGCCGGCCAAGGGCTAGCATGACATCTGGCAGCCTGCTAATTTCTTCGTTTTCAAGGCGCAGAAACTGCCCTCCAACAGAGCTTGGAATCACGACAGGCCGTGAGAGATACACGGAATCAAAAAACTGTGCCCGCAAGGGCTCACTAAGTCCTATGACATCCATGCTGTAGTGATGCCAAAGATAGATTCCTCGACGCGCGAGCCCCTCCTGAGCATGGAAAACATCCTGAGGAGTGCCCACAAGTGCAAATCGCACTGGGTAATTGCCATCTCTGGCTACTTGAAGACCCTGAACCACGAACACTTTGTCCCAGAATCTGACCACTGACTTGATGCGCTCTATGGCATCTTTGCGATCCACGTGATCCATCCCGTAGAGGCCGCCCTCATCGCCAAAGACGCAATGGCCTGCCGAGTGGGCCTCCTGCGCGCGGCGGGTTGATGAAGCCCCGTGCATGAGATGTGCACTTCACACGTTGACCATGCGGATGAACCGATTCCCGCAGACCTTTTTATGCTTTGAAGGAGAAAAGTCGCCCCGGAGGTTTGCAGGTTATGAGCCCAAGCCGCTCGCGCACATGGAGGTGATGAGGCGGCGACGGTCCGGCCAGGTAAGCCCTGGCGGGGAAGTCGAGGAGAGCCGGGCACTGGCCGGGGGCGAGCTGGTGGCGGACGAGGGAGAAGATCCTGAGATGGGTGAGCCGATGGAGGGTGATGACGCCCTGGAGGTTCACTCGGCAGATGGCCGTGCATCCACCAGGGAGGCATCAACGGCAAGATCGGCGAGGAGCTCATCGAGGACGAGGGAGACGTCACCGAGGGCCCTCAGGCCGGGCATGGATGATGAGCCTTTGGTGGAGAGAGAATCGAGCTCTACGGCCTCTAGGCAAAGGAGCGCTTCAGCGCAGAGCTCTATGGCATCTGCGAAGCCAGGGAGTACCACGAGGTCGAGCCCTTCGGCATCTAGGAGAGCGGGCTCTATGGAAAGGGCCGGTGATGGCCCGAAGGCAGGAGCGGAGGTAAATCCCTTTTGGTCCAAGAGGGTGCAGGAGGAGGTGAGGCTTCGTGAAGCGAGGCCGGAAGGACTGCCACCGGTCCCGGAGTCAGGTGATGAGGAGGAGCCGGTCAGGACACCTTTGAAGGCTGCGGAGGGAGAAGCAGCCGCGAAGAGGAATCGGGCCAGGGCCTTCATGTCGCCGGAGGAGCGGTTGGCGGATGAGAAAAGGGAGTTGGCCTTGCAGGCGGTCAAGAGGGATCTGAGACGGATCGGAGGAGAGGGTCCGCCGGAGGAGGGCGGGCGGAACAAGGGGCCTTCAGGTGGAGGCGGAGAGGATTGGGATGGCGCCGGAAGCGCAGGAGACAAGGGAAGGCCAGCCACACCTGAGGACCGTCTGGAGGGGGAACTCAGCAGGGTGATGATCGAGGAGTACGGTGCGGTCAATATGAACCTGGCTGAGGCGTTGCGGCAACGGAATGAGCTGCGACATAAGGTGGAGCGACTGGAGCTGGAGAAGATTGTGGTGGAAGCGGAGGCCGAGCAGAACCGGAGGATGGCGGAGCTGTGGGAATCACGGGCGCGGCAGGCTGAGAAGCATGTGGAGCTCTTGACGGACCAGATCACGGTGCTGGAACAACGGCCTCAGCAATTTCACACGCCGCAGCAAGAGGAGGAGCCGCAGCCACCGAGGCCGGAAACCCCCCCACCACCGCCTCCGGGAATTCGATCCAAGAGGCAAAAGCTGGAGATGACGCCGGGTGGCACCAGGGTGCCGCAGGATCCACCCCCTTATGATCATGAATGGCCAAACCCAGAAAACGGTTGGGTCATGGACGGGGTGAGTTACAAGCCGGCATGGGGGCGCTCGAGGTCCACGTCAAGGGAGGAGAAGCCGGCGGCAAGCAGACCGAGGTGGACAAGGTCGAGGTCGACTTCCAAGGACGGTGGTGAGGCACGGAAACCCGAGGAAGGGAAGCCAGCAATTCCAGTGGCGCCCCTGCTACAGCAGAAGCCAAAGAGTCGGCCGGAGGTCAAGGAGATGCCCAACGAGACTGGACGGGCTACGGATCTGCCGGAGCTGGTGGGCGACGGAAGCCCGCTGACCTTTGGGGACTGGATGGCCACGATCGACCACTACATGAAGGACATTTCGACCTACAGCGCGATGTGGTGGGAGGAGGTGTGCGCTAGTGCGAAGGAGGCCTACGCGGAGTGGTTGGTGGCGAGCCCGTTGCAGAGACTGCGCATCAAGCCGGAGCTGCCGCTGGTCTGCATGGACTTGCCTCGCACTGAGCAGAGAGGGGTGGCCATGGTCCTCAAGGCGCTCCCGGAGAGCGTAAAGAAGGAGCTGGTGGCCAACAGGCAGTTGAGCATGGTGAACATCATCTATCGCCTGTACATCTTGTACCAGCCAGGAGGAGCCTCTGAAAGGCAGCAGATCCTGAACGCGCTGCTGGACACCAAGGGCGGGAACGCTTCGGAGGTAGCTAAGCAGCTGAGGTCGTGGAGGCACTGGAGGAAACGGGCGCTGGAGCTGGGAGTGGCGTTGCCGGATGCCACGTTGTTGGTGTCGGCCCTGGACAAGTTCGCTGCGGCTCTGTCGAAGCTGGATCAGCAGAGCAGCTACCGAATGTCCACGGTGAGAGCGGAGCTGAACCTGGATACGAGGCCGACTCAGGAAGCGGTGGAGAGCTTCGCGGAGTACCTCCAAGCGGAGTCCGAGACGGCGGAGTTGGCCAAGGGCGGCAAGGAGACCGCTCCCAAGGTGAAGGCGATGGGTGGTGCAGGAAAGGAGGAGGCTGGACCCTGGAAGCCATCGAGTGGTGGTGGGACTCCCGGGAAGCCGAGGGTGGTGGATTTGTCGAGGGCGTGCAAATGGTACGCGACCGACGCGGGGTGCAGGTTTGGCAAGAACTGCAAGTTTGCCCATGTGTGGGACAGCCTGGATCGGCAAAAGGAGCGGTGCTGGAACTGTGGGAGTTTGGAGCATCGCAAAGCGGAGTGCCCGCGGCCTGGGCCCCAAGGTGGCCCGGGAGGAGGTCAAGCTGCGGCTGGAGGGGGCGAAGGAGCCAAGAGGAGAGCCGGAACACCGCCGGGAAATAAGGGGGCGGTGAGGAAGGCTGCTGGAGGAAAGAGCCATGCGGCGGAACCGGTGGTGGAAGAAGAAATGGAGGAGGTCGTTGTTGAGGAGACCGGTGGGAAGGACAAGCTGATGGCAGAGGCGACGCAGCTGTTGAAGAGCCTCAGGATGAAGAAGCTCAAGGCGGCGAAGCTGTCAAAGATCGGGGAGTGCCAAAGTTGGGGGCTTCTTGATGGAGGGGCCACGCATGCGCTCAGGCAAGCGCGGAAGGGGGAGACAGGGGAGGACCGCATGGTGGAGCTTGCGGACGGCCGGGAGGTGGCGATGCAGATGACGGAGGGTCACACTTTGATCTGCAAGGAAGCCACGCAGGTCATTGTGCCGCTTGGAGCGTTGTACCTGCTGGGCTACAGGATCCGCTGGGAGGAGGGTATCTGCTGCATCGAGCATGCGAGCCGAGGCCCGTTGCCGGTGAGGATGAGGCAGTTTTGCCCGGAAGTCCCGACGGAGGTGGCTCTGAGGTTGGTGGAGGAACTGGAGGAGTTCAACAAGGGGTTGCTCAGGAGGGCGGCGACAGCGGCGACCAAGAGCATGAGGAAGCCGGACGTCAAGAAGGGCCTGTGCGGCAGGGTGGCGGAGGCGTGGAAGAAAGGAGAGATGGAGAAGGTGAAGGGGGAGTTCGAGCAGCTCTTCCCGGAGGTGCCGGTGGCGCTGCTGGAGAGGGCCCTGGGCACAGGAGAAGGAAGGGGAATCGCCTGGAACCGGGCGGCGAGGAGGAGGCATGCCAAGGCGACAGGGTTGATCCTGCATCTCTTCGCCGGAAAGAGTGCGAAGAAGTTCAACTACGGGCAGTGGGACAGGGAGATCATTGCGGTGGACATCCTGTCGGGCCAGGATTTGCTTGAGGAGGACACCTTCGGGTACCTGGCTGGTTTGGCGGCGGAGGGAAGGACGGAGGGGGTCATGGGTGGACCGCCGTGTCGGACGTATTCCTACTGCCGGCACTTTGAGCCTGGCCCTTATCCGGTCCGAGGAAGAGGAGAAGAGCGGTTTGGCTATGAGGAGCTGAGCGGGGTGGAAGCAAAGAAAGTGGAGGGCGACAGCGTCTTGATGCTGCGCATGTGGATCCTGGCGGTGCTGGCGAATGGTGGCCGGGAGCTGGTGGGTCGGAAGGCATGGATGGTCAAGGAGCACCCGGAGGACCCGAGGAGCTTTGTCAGTGAAGAGGAGTGGGAGAGGGCCAAGGCCCGGGGGGGCGAACCGCCTTCGATCTGGGATTGGCCGGAGGTCGCGGCGATGGAGGAGGTGCTGGGACTCATCAGGGTGAAGTTCGACCAGGGTGCGATGGGCCACATAAAGAGGAAGCCGACGATGCTGTTGACCAGTATCAAGGACCTACGGCAGCTGGACGGCATGAGAGGACCTGGAGTTGGAGGAGCGGGGAACCGCGAATCCAGCAGCTGGGCAGAATGGGCGCCGGGGTTGGTGGCGGCGTTGGACGAGGCGATCAAAAGGGAGGTGGTGGCAGCGGCAAGAATGGCAAAGGCATCGGCAGAGGAGATGTGGAAGAGCCACGTCGAGAATGGCCATACCCCGTTTCGCCGAGACTGCAGGGCCTGCATCCAGGGGGGACTCAGAGGAAGGAGCCATCGGAAGAGGAGTCACCCGGCCTTGGCCACTTTGGCCATCGACGTGACGGGCCCGTTCAAGACGTCTAAGGAGGGGCATCGCTATCTGTTGGTGGGGTCGTACGTCACGGCGGTGGCGGAGAACATGGCCAAGGAAGATGAGGTGGAGAAGGAAGCCAGGGAAGAAGGGGAAGACCCGAGTGAGGACCCATTTGAGGAGATGTTTGATGAGGAAGGAGCCTTGAGGATAGAAGGTGAGGATAGAGAGGTGAGGGTAGAAGGTGAGGAGAGAGGAGCCGTGAGGGTAGAAGGTGAGGAGAGAGGAGCCGTGAGGGTAGAAGGTGAGGAGGACGAGAGAAGAGAAGAAGAGCATCCAGCTCCGGGGGGGCTGGAAGGTATGGTCACAAGGACCATCATGTTGGTGGAGCCGCTGAAGACCAGGAGAGCAGCGGAGGTGATTGCGGCTACGCAGTCGATGGTTGCCAAGCTTCGGTGGTGGGGTTTCGAGGTGACGAGACTTCATTCTGATCGAGGACGGGAGCTGGTGTCGACAGCGTTGAGGAGGTGGGCGGTGAGTCATGGGCTGTACAAGACGTTGTCAAGCCCAGATGAGCCGCAAGCCAATGGCCGGGCGGAGGCAGCGGTTGGCTGGGTGAAGCGGAAAGCACGGGCGCTGCTGCTGGCGGCGGGGGCCAACGCCAATTTGTGGCATGGGGCAGCGTTGCAAGCGGTGGAGATCAGGAACCGGAAGATCATGCGAGAGATGGGTTCTCCACAGCTGCAGCTGCCGGTCTTCGGTCAAAAGGTGGTGGTGAAGAAGAGGAGATGGAAGAGAGAGGCTTGGGAGGCGATCACGCAGAACGCCACCTATGTGGGGCCGTGCCCGGACATGACCTTCGGTTTGAGGGTGATGGATCAAGGGGGGAGCATCTACACGGTGTCGCAGGTTGTGCCGGAGCCGAGGGACCAGAAGGTGGACATCCCGGTGGTGGGTGAGCTGTGGACCAGGAGAAGGAGGCTGCGAGGAAAGCAGAGAGATGAGGAGGCTGGAGGAGCTGAGGAGGAGCCGAGAATCGGTAAGGTCGAAGGAAGTGAGGAGCAGGTGGAGGTGTCCTTGGACCCGGAGTGGGTAGGGGTCGGGAAGGACTGGATCGAGGCGATGGCAAAAAGACAGGTGGTGTGGTCGAGAGAGAAGGATCGGTGCCTGGAGTTGGTCATGGATGACTTGGAGATGGGGGGCACCGGAGAGGAGTGGGCTGAGGTGCTGGGAAGGTTAGACATCCAGCAGAGCTGCACGGAAGAGGAGATGGTGGAGGTCACCCGCGAGGAGCGCCCAAAGGCAGGACTGAGGGCGATGGATGTGGTGGCGGAAGAGGAGATGTTCCTCCAGACGAAGATTATCGGGCTGGAGCAGGTGAGGAGAGAGATGGAGCTGTGGGTGCCGACGATGAAGAAGGAGGTCGGTGCGTTGCTGGAGAAGACAGCCATACGAGAGGTGAGAGAAGAAGAGGTGGATAGATGGGAGAGAGAAGGTGAGGCGGTGCAAAGAGCGCCGGGAAAGGCAGTGTTCACCCGCAAGTCAGGTGATGGGAGGCGGAAGTGCCGCGCGGTTGTCTGCGGCAACCAAATCCAGGAAGAGGTGGAAGGAGGGGCTGACGTGTACGCATCCGGCGTGGAGGCTGGCACGGTTCGGGCGCTGCTCCGAAAGGCGGCGGCTATGAGATGGTCGGTGGGCAGCTTAGACATCAGAACGGCGTTCTTGAACGCCCCGAGGAGGTCGTCCCATCGGGTGGTAGTGAGACCGCCGAGGATCCTCATCGATGCGAAGGTGGTGGAGCCGGGCGTCATGTGGGAGGTCACGAAGGCGCTCTACGGGCTGAGGGCTTCACCAGCCGATTGGGGGGCGCACCGGGATGATACCCTCAGGAGGTGGAAAGTGGACATCGGTGGGGGACAGGTGCTGGTATTGCAGCAGGCCTTTGCCGATGAGAATCTGTGGAAGATCAGATTGGGAAAGACCACGGTGGGGTTCATCTGCTGCTACGTGGACGACATGATGATCATCGGGGAGCAGAGCATCGTGGAGGTGATGGCGGGTCACATCAAAAAGGAGTGGGACGCCACGGACCTGGAGTGGGCCAATACCGAAAAGGCGTTGAAGTTCTGCGGGGTGGAGGTGATGGTGAAACCAGGAGGAGGTGGAGAAATCCTCGTGGGACAGGAGGATTACATCAAGGATGTGATCAACCGGTACGGGAGTGAGGTGAAGGAGAAGCTCATCCCGGTACCGAAGGAGATCGAGAAGGACGGGGAGGACGAGGAGCAGGACACGGAGATGGTCCGGAGAGCACAGACGCTGTCGGGAGAGTTGCTATGGGCGACCCGGACGAGACCAGACATCAGCTATGGCGTGAATCGCATCAGCCAGCTGATTGCGCGGCAGGCGAGGCGGGCCTATGACATGGGAATCTACCTGCTGGGCTTCCTCAAGAAGACGATGGAGTGGAAGTTGGAGTTCGGTGCCGCGGCGGAGGGCCACGGGGAGAATGGGGAGTACGTGTATGAGAGGGGCATGAACACGGTGGAGGTCTATGCGGACGCAGGTTTCGGGCCGGATGGAGGCCGCTCGCAGCAGGGGGTCATCGTATGTTATGGTGGCTGCCCAATCCATTGGACGAGCACGAGGCAGCCGTTTGTGGCAAGATCGACCGCGGAGGCTGAGTTGTTGGCAGCCATGGAGGGGGTGCTGCAAGGGGAAGCCTGGGCGGAGATCATCGCCGACCTGGAGGACAGGAAGGTCGCATCGGTGTGGGACAGGGCGGGCATCGATCGGGACCAGCTGAAGTCGTTGAAGCTGGTGATGATGCAGGACAATGCGGCAGCGGTCACGCTACTGCAGGGCCCAGGTGGGTCATGGAGGACGAGGCCACTGAAGATCCGGGCCAGGTCGGCCAGGGAGAGATTTGAGAATGGCTTCTGGGCGCTGCAGCACTTGCCGGGCGAGACGATGTTGGCGGACATCGGTACCAAGGCCTTGGGAAGCTCTCGCTTGAGAGCACTGGCCGAGATGATGGGTATGAAGATGGGCGAGAACGACGCGATCCCGGAGAAGGATGAGGACCTTGTGAAGGTCGGGGAGGGGAACGCGGCCAAGGTGAGGGCGGTGCACAGTATCGAGCATGAGCGAGGCCTGAAGGTCTTGACGGGCATCACGTGCATTATGCTGGCTGATGCAGCGGACATGGAGGATGAGGAGGCTTCCCGGGAGGAGCTTCTGTTTTGGACGGCGCTTCTGGTGGCGGTGGTGGCCGCGTGGGAGGCGCTGAAGTGGAGTGCGAGAAGGGCAGTAGGCGCGGTGCGGAACCTGCAGAAGGGGGAGGATTGCGGGAGTATGTCAACTACCGGAGGTGGAGTGAAGGTGAAGACTATGCAGGGTGGTAAGGAGAGGGCAAGGCAGAGGTTGCTTGAGAAAAGGGCAGACAGAGAGAGCTCCGAAGAAGGGCAGGAACGGAGCACAGAAGGAGGAGGAAGGCCGGGCAGCAGTAGTTATGCAGGGTGGAAAGTTGGAGGTGGAGATGTGAGGCAGCCCGGGTTGGCGCCGGAGAAGAGTTCTGCGGCGGAGTGGAAGGTTTCCTTGGATGAGGATGAGACAGTGGTCTGGGAGGATGTGAAGAAGATCTTCCCGGGGATCGTGAAGGAGCCGGTGGGGACGGAAGACCGCTGGTTGGAGAAGGGCGGCTACTACATCAAGATGCACTGCAGAAGGAGGGTCACGGAGTTTGACCCACGGAGGGGCCACATGCCGAGGGAGAAGATTGGGCCGGAAAGGATCACGGTGATGAGGACGTCAGGGCCTGTCTTCGTGCTGGGCGGCGACTACACGGTGGGGTCGCGGTCTGGCCTGAGGGAGTTCGTGGGTTTCACGATCTTCAAGAAGCTGGAGGTGGGGTCTTGAGCTGGCGCCAAGGAGCGCAAGGTGGCTGAGAGCGATAAGATGCTCGACGCCATACATTTTGGCTGTTGGCACAAAGTGCCAAGGGGGGGTGCATGAGATGTGCACTTCACACGTTGACCATGCGGATGAACCGATTCCCGCAGACCTTTTTATGCTTTGAAGGAGAAAAGTCGCCCCGGAGGTTTGCACCCCGCTGGTCTTCGCGCTGCAATGCAGAACAACCTTGATCTCACCAGGCAGATCCATCTGATGAAGCTGTCCTGGCACCATCGTCAAAAGCTCTGCCTCTGCTGTTGCATTGCTGTTTTGCGCACCAAGGAGGATAAGTATACTGCGCTGTGAATCTAGCACTATGAACGTGCCCGGGAACTTGGATTGAAGGCCTTGAATGGTGGAGCCTCCTCTCCCAATAATGCGACCCACGCAGGCCGCGTCAAGCTTGAAAATTCTCACCTCCTCGATGTGCGGTCTGCCCTGGCTCTAAGCACATCCAACATCTGCATCTTGGAGGTTCAATGGCTAGAGTCTTCTCAGGGCATAAATCGCGCTTGCGGGTGACGTTTCTGCAGTATATGAAACACCGGGGCAGGTACACCTATGGTCCCTCATCCAACGCAATTCTTGGGAGATTCGTCGGGTTCCCTTCTAAGTAACCAGCCAGTCCCGCCTTGTGGTCGACAAATGGATGACCCAACTTAGTGGCTGATGTTCCCAGACGTTGTTAACGTCTTCGCCGGGATATCAACTACTAAGTTGGGTCGTCATCCCTTTTGGAAAATGTAGATGGTTGCCTGGGTACGTGAATATCATCAAACAGCTGAAAGCTTTGAGGAACGCTGTATTTTCTTACCTGAGGCGAGACACCCAGTTGAGAAAAACATAGACATTGCTTTCAAAGACCAGAGCCCCCAACGCCCCCAACCCCCCCCCCCCGGCCCCAGCCCCCAAAAAAGCGCCGAAGCGGCGGTCGCCGTGCACGAAGCGCACGTGGCAGTCCAGCGCGCAGAGGCTCGGGAAGACCTGTGGCCCCGATATGGAAAAACCACCACTTCCGGGCTCCAATTTTGATACAATATGGCCGACTGTTGTTTTTGGAACAACAAAAACATGGTTTGCCTCCGCAAAATTCCAACAGCTAGGCCTTCCATTTTAAAGTTTGCATGTGGCCATGGGCCAAAACCCCGTTCTCCCAGTGAACATCCCAAAATCCACTAAAATAGGTTCTAAAATGGGTGGTGCACCTACCCCAAAATGGTACCATTGGTGTTGATATGGCTCTCTGTTTGTATAATTAGGCAAACATCTAAGTGCATAAGCTTGTTTTTGGGAGGCTGGGTACCCCTTTGGGTTGCTTTCAAAGGGAAGCGATCGAACCCACTTGGGGGACACACATGGGTGTATGTGTTTTTGTTTGTCTGTGTTGAGTGAAGCTTAAATGAAACCAAGCATTGCCGGGCCATTCAGCTGGAAATCTCACCCGGCCAGCCACTGTTGTAGGCAACCTGCCATTTTCCACCTTTTGAAAGGGCGGTTCCATTGGCTCCCTGCTTTACCGGGAAAGGCCAGCACTGGGTAGGATACTTGAAGCGTCTCTTTGTGATGGCCAAGGTCCAGAAGACGCAAAGGTTGACTTACTGTGGATGGACAACATCCTGCACCATTTTGAAACCATGGGAAGCAATTGTTTGTTGGCGTTTATAGGGAAATCATCATTCTAGGGGTTCTTGGGTGGTGCAGGATTTCGTCCACCCACAGTAGGAATGCGTGGATTACCCTGAACTCGTGGCCTTGAAGCAAATCCCGACTACTTCCTTCCCCACTCCCCTCCTGATTCCCTTCTGAAAACTTCGGATTGGGCTACAACGGGTTGGGCTTTCTTCTGCGGTGGTTTTCGGGTTCGGATCTGATAGAGCCTATAGAAGTTGGGCTGCGAATCTTCCAGAAGTCGGGGGTTTAAGCCAACTAAGCAAAGGACACTTCTCTCTCACGCCGCACCCAAACATGGCAATGATCAGTTGCAATGGAACACCTCAGCACTGCAACGCTGATCTGTGCCTGGTTGGCTTGTCCGTTTCCTTTCGCGCGTGCTGCTCTTCAGGAATACCCCTCCTCAGATTGCTCTAAAGCGCGAACCTGCTAAACAGAAACCCATCTCCCACCTGCACGCAGAACGGGCACTTGGAGTCGTGGCCGCCGCACTTGCCACACGCCTGCCGCGGCCGTTCTTGCTGGCCCCAAGGCTTGACCGATCAGACCCCCCGCAAAAGGCCAACCTGCTGGCGAAAAGGAAAATGAAGGAAAGCAGCAGGGCTGCAGATAGACATGCCCTGCCCTTGCGCGCACCCTCTGCTAGTTTCGCGGACAAAAGCCACACGCATCGCACGTTGGCCGAACCCTGAAAGGGTACCCTCCCAAGCTCTCTTCAGACGGAGGGCGCAACTTGCGCGTTCTGGTGAGAGGTCGTTGCACACATGTTCCCCCAGCGCGCATTAGCCTACAGCAAGACTCCTCCTCACAGCTGACAATGGAACGAGCCACGTGCTTAAGGTGACTGTCCCAGCTGCCTTCCTTGGGAAGGGAAAGGAAAGCAAGGCCACGTTCGCGAGGCTTAGCGGACATCAGCGCTGGAGCCCGACTCCACAGGCGATTTACGTCGTAGAATTAGGGCCTCCCCGGGCTCCCCTTGTAAGGGTTTGAGCCCCAAACGAGCTCATGGTAATTCGTAGCGATGGATGCCGAATAGCATCCATTTCACGAATCCTCAAAAACTGGGGTCATGACCCCCTATTTGGAGGTAGATGATCTTATACTAAAAGGATCATGCAGACTCCAGGTGCGCGAATCGGGCTCCACTTCATGATTAGAACCAGTAAAAGGCAAGCATCCTCACTCTTCTCATCCAAACGGGTTTGCATGTTTGGGTCGAAAAGCCTATAAACTATCCTCAGTTGCTCAAAGGACCGAGAAATATAATTATCCTTTTGGAACCCTCCGAAAATATGGACCCAATCTGGGAAACCAAAAAGGCCAAAAGGTCGATTGGATCCGCTTCGCCGAAACCCTCCAAGCACGTTCGCAAGGAGCCCAGTACTTTTTAACGGAAGGGAAGCCAATCTGCGCCAAATCCGACCCTCTCCACCTGGATTTGGATGTCATCAAGAACCAGGGCTTCAAATCCCCAAGCCAATTCAAGCCAGCAACAAGTTACCTGAATGTCCCATACTTCTAGCGGACACTTCCCCATTCTTTCCAGGGTTCCTTCTTTCTAGAAAACCATCTGAACCCCAGGGGAAACAGCTGGTTTTTGAAAAGAACGATGGTTGAAAGGAATGGACAAGGAACCAACCCTAGAATACTGCCATGACACCAAAACGAGGGTCGCCCATGGCAACCCCAATCCTGAAAGACTGGCGCCTTCCGTTAGGCGAGCTCCCACCGTTGCGCCTGGCAGATGCCATAGTAGTCCACCAGGCCAGGGCGCTCCTGGCGGTTCAAAACGTGGGTTTGGGGGGAAAACCAACAAACCACTACTCGGCTGCTTTCTGATCCCCTGCTAAAAGTTTAACTTTTAGTGGTTTCATGGAAAACCCATTAGTTCCCACAAAGTTAAAGTCCTAACATCCAAGCAAAATGCACCAAAGACTAATTTGGGGGCTGGGGGTTCCAGTTCCGTATTGAGACACATACCCATTTTGGGTGTGAATTCTCGTTATGATCCCTGTGGTGGATGTTATTCTGGACTATGTTTTTTTTTTGGAACCAAGCAAAAAAAGAGTCCATGTCCTCGAAACGTGGAGGTTCGACGAGAACAAACCATAGCGCAAGGAAGAGAAGGACCGCCTCTTTCGACATTTGCTAAACATGCCGCCCCCAAAATCCTAGATATATAAAAGCGATATTTAAAAGCGACAAGACTAGGTCCTCCGGTAGAGAGGTTAGAACAAGGGTGCCTTCTTTTTTCTGTAGTCTACTTTAGTAAGGGAACCCCCAAAGAAGGGGCAAAAGGGCACTACTGCAGCATAAACTCAAAAGAAAGAAGAAGCCTGTTTTCCCCGGGGCCGAGTCAAGAACAATGCGTTCCCCAATCGGGTCTGGTCATAGAAATTTGGGAACCAACTCACCACAAAGTTGGGCCACGGCCCGACGTTGGGGTTGAGTTGGACGACCTGCGACTCACCAATCTTCTAGGGCTTGATTCCAAGTCCATTCCTTTCAACCATCGTTCTTTTCAAAAACCAGCCGTATTCCACTGGGATTCTGGATGTTTTCTAGAAAGAAGGATCCCTGGAAAGAATGGGGAAGGTGCACAATTTGGGCATCTCCCTTTTGGGGCAGCGTGTCAAACTGTGTGAGGCAAGAAGCCTAGCAATGGACATGGACATGGAAATGGAAGGTACCCCTCGAAACCTCTCCTCGCTGCACAGGCGGCAGCGGCAGCCTTTCAGACTGGAGGAGCCTTGTTGGCGGCAGCTGGGGCAGCCCGCCACCGTCAGCAGGAAGACCTGACCTGAAGTCTGAAGGCCCCTGAAAAAGACCCCGGCCGAGGGTGCGAAACTTTTGGGTCAGGAAACAACCAACATCTAAGGGTTGGTTCCTTGTCCATTCTTTTCAACCATCGTTCTTCTCAAAAGCCGGACGTTTCCAGAAAGAAGTGGTACCCCTACAATACAGTTGGACCCCCTTCAAAAGACTGGCCGGACCAAAAGGCTGGTCAAACATCATGGACCTCAGGGACCTCTACCAAGAACCCATTCACAAGACGTTCAACCATGGGTTTCGCCCGTAAGGATAAAATTGGATTTGAGCTTTGTCAGTTGCCGGATTGACGGGCAATCCATCTGAACAAGAGCTTGATATATGGACAGATTTGGATCAGCCTCTTAGTTGATTCCGCAAGGTTGGTCCAAAAGGCTTGCCTGTGAATCGCCAAAGACCCGACATTGGCTTTCTAAAATCTGAGGCCAAGAACACAAGGGAACCCGCAATGTGCAAAGAGACTTGAAGGCCTTTTGGTCCTGGGGGCATGTAAGCTTTGGTTAAAATGTGGTGCGTCTTTTTGAGGGTACCCCTGTTTCTGAGCCAGAAGGAAAACTTGTCGAGAGGGCTTTTGACCGGGCCCAAATAAGAGCCTCAAAGAGCGTGTTTCCAGTACCCCTCCCCCCCCCTCTCAAAGTGGGCGAGCGTCCATCGCTGTGTCGCAAAGCCTCACTCACCACTTCCTCGGAGGAAGGAACATGTTCTGTACATAGTTGGCCTTTTGGAAAAATAGATGGCCCTGGTAAACGGAATAAACCCTAAACCAGGGCCCTCTATGTTCTAAGCAAACCAACCAAAAAGGACACCTATGGCTCTGTATGGATCAACAAAAATCACAAGCAACATTGACCCCTGATTGATGAACTGGGTCCAGACCGGTGACATTCCCAACAAATACCATCCAAGTGGCGGTTAAAAGAGACACAACCCCCAAAGGCAAACTCAACACGATTGCTTTAACGTACCCTAATGAACTCCTTGTTCTTGATGAGGGGCGCGTCTAGAGGGGCTTGCCGCATTTTAAGGTGCGTTTTTTCAGGAACAAGGAGTTTACTTTTGTCAGTCCATCTTTAACCAGATCCTCCAGTAGAGAGGTTAGAATAAGGGTACCCTTCTTTCTGTAGTCTATTTTAGTAAGGGAACCTTCCCCCAAACAAGGTTCAAAGGGCACTACTGTGGGACCTAGTTAAAGTGAGGGATACTCCAAGCCACAAGGCAGCACCTTCTAAAGATTGTTCTCAAAGCATATGCCCAACGTACTCTGCATAAGCCTGACCCTACATGTCATGCAATACGTTGGTCTTCAACGGACAACCATAGTCAGGCCATGTTGCTCTCTTTGACAATAAGAGTGACCAACATTTATGGACTTACCGGGGACTTACCTACTGGTGACTGCAGCCATATCTCCGAACAAATATGAAGTGCACATACCCCTTGAAACCTGGTTGGTGGGGTAAGGCGCTCGCAAACCAACTCCGTTGAGAGATCGCACACAAATACCCGGTTTGTTCAGACCTCAGAAGCTCGTTTGGAAGGCGCCGAATGTTGCTCTATTCTCTCCACAAGCCCGAAAGGGTTGTGGGTTCTTGCGGGTATGTGTCAAAATATAGAGGGCGGTCTGTGCCTGAAAAGGTACCCTCGACAAAATGCTCCAATGAACACACACACACACACACAGGGGGGGGTAAACATTGGCAAAGGCCCTCTAATTAACGGAACTTACAGTAACGGAAACCCAAAGAACATCCGTATGAACCCCCAGCCAGCAAAGAGCCCAACTCAACCAACATCCTCCTGGTGTTTGTGGAAAGGCTAGCAACCCGCCGATGGATACATCTCATGGAATCCTGACGAAACATCCGGACATAGAAAGGGTGATGAGAGAGTTGTTTTCCCACGGTTCAAGTCCAGGAACTCAGGGAGTGTGCAACCTTTGTGGAAAACGATCAATGACACTTCCATTTGCTCAAGTCCCCTGCAAACAAAAACAGTAATAGATTCCCTTCCAAACCAACAAAGGAAAGTAAACATAGCGAATGGAAGAAAGGCCAAGGTGTAGACTCCCTCTTTTCCCAGGCGGAAAAGATCTTCTTTCCCCACCAGCGACATGACGTCAATCCGCTATCTACCAAACCCAAGCTTCGCCATCTTCCAGCACCTTATGCGCTCGGAATGCGGGCGGAAAGCCATCTAGCGGGTTCAAATGCAAGCCCCAAGAGCCCCCCTATTTTTCGAGCACTCCATGCGTTTCAGACAGCCCGCATGTACCGCCATGGCTACGTGTGAGGGAATGAGAATAGAACCAGATCTGTCCCTAGGGTAGCGAAACCATCCCCGAGTTGAAATAATTGACCCCATCCTATATACCCTCCAAAACTGATGAACCCGCACTACAACAGGACAGCCCGCCTATTGGTAAGCTGGGGTGCATTAATCTGAAATTCGCATTACCTTGCACACCGCACATCTGTTTAGCTACTTGGCGGCGAAACTATCATGCTCCGACAAATAAGAAGGTTCATGGTCGTTCAAAAAAGCAACCTAGCCCCAACTGCCAGGGAACATAATCTTTCTGGAAAGCCGTGAACCGCCAGGGGAATGGCTTGCTTTCGCAAAGATTGATGATTCAACTTCACGGGAAGGTTGATTCCCGTACTTGGACGGTTGGCCAAGATAATAAGTTCGACACACTTGGAGTGCAACCCCCCAAGGTTAACCCCACCGAACGGGGGACTCATAAGGTTATAACCTGGGTGACCAATCACCTATTAACTTGGCTGAACACCCAAGTAGACACCTCTGCAACCAGTTGGGGCTTTCTTTTGGCGAAACTGTGCTCCAAATTGAACATGCCGGCATGTGCCGGCATAGACCGTCAGATACGAAACGCTCAATGTGGATTTGCTGGTCTCTGCCTTCATCCTCAAAGCTCAAGGCTGCTGGTGGCTGTCCCTCCCGGTGTGGGTAGTTCCTCTTGGTGTCCTTTGTGGCCTTCCGGGGGTGAGACAAACCCCTAGAGATACAAACAAGACAATTTGTGGGACCAAAGAAAATGATGACTAACAGGGATTTCCCCCCATGGCTCTTCCACATTCTTCCACCATTCCTCCTTAGGATTTTCCCCCGAACTCTTTTTGAAGGCGCAGTCGTCAGCATAACGGTATTGTGATTGGGAAAAAACAATTTTCCTTGGGTCTGTAGTAACAAGGAATAAATTTGGGTCTGTCTTTTTTGGAGGATACACTTTTGGGGTTGCATTTTCAGGGCAAACTAACCACAACACATACATTACTTGGGTCGCCCCAATTTGAAGGAAATCTTCACTGCAGACTTCTCAAGGAGCCACTCAACTGGTAGCCACAAGGGAGACGGACGAAGGATCCCATTTGGCCTATGTCTATTCTATGTCTCAAGGGAAGCCAACATGATCCGCTTCCCGTACTCTGCACATTCAACCGAATCCCAACAGGGGGGCTCAACAGTTTCCTCTCGAATACAGTTTGGGTGGAGTTTGCGCGGTTCATTCTGACGCTTGCGCACGGCACCATTTCCTTCATTCTCTTCTCAGCCTCTGTGCGTCGCAACCAACGCCAGCGGTGTACTTCAAAACGATCTGACCCTTAGCACCTGTGAGCGGATGCCTGGATCAATGTCATTGGGGGAAGAGCTTCTCATTGCATCACCCTGATGTCAAGTACTTTCAGCCAGCCAACGCCGAAAAGCCTTCGCCTTCAACCTTCTTGGCTTTGAGCTTGGGTGTCGTATATGCATGCTTCCCCCACGCCTTGGGTGCTTGTGAAGGAACCCAAAACCACAGAAATCATCGGCCCCTGCAATCCCCAACAGGATCGAGACTCCTTTGACATGCTTCGTTTTGTGGGGTTCGATGTTTGTCGCTGGTAAGGTCAGCGCAACCGCCACAGGTTTGGCTTTGGGGTTCGATCGCTCCATCCTGCTTTGCAGGCTCTCGTCGGAGCAACCGCACTGAGTCGCTGATTGCCCCGGCAATTCTTGTCCTCGTGGTTCCTAGAATGTGGCAACAATACATATTCCACCATGGAATCATCCCATACCTCGAAAATTAGTTGTTTCTAAAAGGAAACCCGATCCTAAACCAATGACAAACAACACTGGAGGTCTGTTTCAGCCTGGAAGACTGTGCCTTCTGTGCTTACCCAGTGGGTTCGGTTGGGCGGACGCGGTCTCCCTAAGCGTTGACTAAAATCAAGAGAACCCACAAGAAAGAAACCGCATGGTGCCTTTCGCTTTCCGAACCCGCTGGACAACTCAAGTCTCCGGCTTAAAACGCACACACCACTCAATTCAAACTCCGTCTTTCGGCTCATTCGTTGGGCTCACAGCTGCCAGCGTTTGTGTTTCTGTCCCCGGGACGGAACCACAAACTCAGAGCATTGGCCAACAATCTGATTTGTTTGACTATCACTAACATGTACAAAATCCAGAGGCTCTGGGAGTAAGCAAAACTATGTCCAGTGATAGATGTCCTTTAAAACCAACACATGAACATCAAGAATCTTAAGCAAATGGAAGGGTGCACTCACAAAGTTGCCCAGAAGAATCTGAACTGACAACTTCTAAGCCGGGGCTGAAAACGGTCCGGAAAACAGTAAACATACCCATGCGCGTTCGGTCTCCTTTTGAACATAAGACTATATTTAGCACTAGAGGTCTCAATGCTGAATCTGAGCAATCTTCTATCAGCATTCCTGATATGTCAGTCAACATTGCACCAGCCAGACACTTTGCGTAATGTCGTTGCGCAGCATCTGAGTGTTGGTTGTTCTCTGCAAGTCACCAGCCACTTGGGGGTATAGCTCCACAAAAACAAGCTTAACTCCAATGAAAAAGAGACTTGTGCGATAGTGAAGAACCCCCCTGGCGAAAAAAATGGTGCTACATGGGTTCAGGCAAATGGGCTTCGTTCGTACGCGTTAAGACACCTGCTTGGCTTGGTGAAAGCGATCGGAGCATGTATATTAATCAAACCTCCGCCTCCACAAAGCATGTTTGCTGCCTGCCCAGCAACCTGCCCAGCGCAATCCCCGTGTGCCTGTGCAACTGTCACACGCGATACGCGACCCCCAAAACTCAAATGATCGGCATTGCTTGCAAAGACACGATGTGCCATGCTCGAACAAGACTTCAACACAATGATGATGCATTGGTCTGCTAACTGCCCAGCGACAGATTGATGACATGGCCATGAGTCAAAATCCCGCACCCCCAGTGAACATCCCAATCCCCACTAAAATAGACTAGCATGGGTGGTGCACCTACCCCAAAATGGGATCCCATTGGTTTTGACCCACAGCCACATCGCGAGAAAAAAATGTTGTGCACCTTGGCGGGGTCGTTAGAAGTAAGGTAAAGGGGCAATTGAGTTGATGTGATTCGATGACCACCCCACTTGTTCAGCCACAGTTGATCAGGACTCTAAGTGGGAACTACCCTGCACGTAAGCCACTTGGGGCACTTAGTATCTGGAGATAAACCATACGCGGCCGAAGCCACGGGATGTCGCTGAAACATATACTAGTGGTTTACGTTAGGAGACCTTGAAATGTGTTCGAATTCAAGCTTGTGGGAAAGCAAGTGAGTCAAGCCTGTTGTCCGTAAATGCTCTGACATTGTCTTGGAAACACTGAGCCCAAAGGCGAAG